GTGTAGTACATGGTTACATATTATATATTATGACTTTGCTTTCCTAATGAAAGTGCTTGCATCTCTTTAACAGGCTGGATCAAGACTTTAGATCAGTACTACACACAGCAAACACGACATATTCTTGATAATGTTGTTGATGCACTTGCAGTAGATAAAAATCGAAAGTTTATTTGGGCAGAGATGTCATATTTGTCAATGTGGTGGAAGGAAGCTGATGAGAAAAGGAAAAAGCTTGTTTTAGAGTAAGATGCATTTTTAAATTAATTTGTTTAGTGTTTAATAGCTGTACTACATAATATGAAATGTTGTTGAAATATGTCAAATAATGATCCAGGCTGATTTTAAAGAAGTTTGCTCCAATTAGTTGTTTTGTCAAGCTATTTTAATCCATGAAGTCTTGAATTTCTTGGTATGTTTCATCCCTGAACTTTCTGGATCTTGAAAAATATTAGTAAGATATTTCTCAAATCCTGGCCTCGAAACTAGCCTTATTTTGTTGTTGTTAAAGTTATCCTTCAACCCAAATAATTGTTGTGGACCCTTCTCGGGGAGTTGTGAATGCAGTTGATATATATGTATATATATCTTATTAACCAAGCGCGAGGGCCGTACTGGGAGAACATCAGCCCAAGGTCTTGACAGCATGGACTGAGCGCAGCGAGGTCTGTACAAAAAAGACCGAGGGCCCATATTCTTCCAGTACGGTCCCAAGCAAGCTTGGTTAATGAGAGATTTATTATACGACTGAAGTTCAAAGGGACACAAGTGTGGTATCATTCGGGACAGTGCCCGGTCCAATACTAAGAGAATATTGACCAGCAATAGAGCATTTTGAATGGTTGATTTTAGTTATTGGCCCTCTGACTTCCCGAGTGGTGTAATAAATTATTTTATGAATATACATGCTAGATCGATAGAAATTACTATTAAATTTTGTTGGCTTATTTTCCAGACAGTTGTCTAATGGCCAGTTGGAGATTGTAACGGGAGGATGGGTGATGAATGACGAGGCAAACACTCATTACTATGCCATGCTAGATCAGATGATTGAGGGCCATCAGTGGATTGAAAAAAATCTTGGTTCAGGTGAAGAAGAAAAAAAAAATTTTTATTAAGGATGCAAAATGATGTCAATTTTGAAGTGTTGTCCTGGGTCCCTCCAAATTAAACTGCCATGTTAGATATTGAAATTATTTTTCTGTGCATAGATATTCTTACTATGTTTTGTAGATTCCAAAGGGTAGCCAGGCAAGTTATTGTTCATTAAAATCATTGTCTTCAAATGTACTGTGCTTATAGAATTACCAGCGTCTTGGCCACTGTGTTAAAAAGGTTCAATCATTCTGTAACTTTGGTGCATGACATTGCAGAACCCAACTTAAATGGCAGAAAGTTCAACAACCATTCACAGATAGCTTCTACTCTTTATGCTAAAAAAAAGAAGAATCATCATTTGAGTCAAAAATGCCTCTTTGTCTCTGTAGCTCTGTAATCGTTCAAACAGATAGTGGAGCAGTGCTCAAAGGGCAACATTTTCAAAGTCACTGTTTGGTGTCCAAAGAATCCTAGAATGGTCACCAGTTGACCAAAATTGGTGTCTTTTTTTTATGAAACTACTTATTTTGAATGTATTGTTAAAATATTACTAGCAATCAAGCCAATGGCTGGCTGGGCCATTGATCCCTTTGGACACACACCCACAATGGCTTATCTTTTAAGACGCATGGGTTTCCATTCCATGTTGATTCAAAGGACACACTATCAGGTGAAAAAGCATCTTGGCAAGGAAAAAAATCTTGAGTTTATGTGGCGACAGAACTGGGGTAAGTTTTACTTTCAAACTGATAAAGTGGCAAGCCAAATGGGTTAATACCACCAAAAAGAACAGTTGATTAATTTATAGGGGATCCTCTTTCCCAAGCTCTTATCCTGTAAGAGCTTAGTCCACCATTATGGTGTCAAACTGAATACTGATGTTCCATTTGAGTTGCCAGAAACTTTCCAGTATATTTGCAATAGTACACTTAGGTGCTGTTGGATTAACCCCTTACAATCTAACATCAGTACGCGTATTCTCCTTACCATACTGTTCTCTGTACATTTTCTAAGGAGCTGACAAGGAGAATTTGTCAGCAATCAAGAGCTTCTTTTAGTTAGTTGATGATCATTTCATTTATTTTGTTGACCTTGGGTGTGATTTGGGGGTGATGTTTGAAGTAGAGATCAGATGTTACTTGCTCTCAGGGGTCCAAGGTTTAATATTTATCTATTAAGCATAAATAACTAAATGAAAAAGTGTATTAAAAAATTATGAATTTCAGATCATGGATCATCAACAGACATGTTTTGCCATATGATGCCTTTTTACAGTTATGATATTCCTCACACTTGTGGTCCAGATCCAAAGGTATACATTGTATGACATAGTAACTGAGTTTTGGTCAGCAATTCTAGTTTCTTAACCTATTAACATCCAGTGCGCCCGTATGCGCCCATGTGGACCCACGCCCTTTCTACACCTTGTGACGTCATCACTTTTAACCCTGGAGCACAACTTTGAGCACGTACTTGAACAGGTTGAAAATATCTTACAAACGATACCAGAATGAGCGCAATTGAGTGAAGGAGATTGGAGAAATAGCCAAAAAACCATGTAACTTTGACCTGAAAATCTGCACGAAAATCTTGTTCCATTACCCACCTACCTTTCTGAGCATGTGGTTTGAAAATAATGAGTAGTTTCCTAAAAAATCTCTACACCAAAATGAAGCCTACTAAATTTCCAGCAAGTGAGGAGAAACTTGAGGCAAGGAGAGGGGAAAAAAATGGCAGGAGAAAGAGAGAAAAGTAAAAGTCATAAGTGGGGCATTACTTTTCAACCCAAGAACTTGAAATTTTGATATTTTGAAATCTCAAAATTTTGCTTTTTGCGCGTGCCCGAGATTTTCAGGCCACCATTTTGCATTTGGATCGAAAGGCCGTCGAGTGTATGAGCTGTCAATGGGTTTTTGGTAAGTTTTAGCTTTTAAAACCACAACAGTGACCTGAAATCTGTTCGACTAGCTTCAAAACACAGTTTTTCACAAAAGCTGCGGCCATTAATGGGTTAATTTATTTTCTCCCAGTAACAGATTCAACTTTAATTTGCTCCATTTGATTTCTAGATTTGCTGTCAGTTTGATTTCCGTCGTCTGCCAGGTGGTGGCATAAGCTGCCCATGGAGAGTCCCACCTATAAGAATTGATGATAGCAATGTTGCATCAAGGTAAAATTGTTACTGTTCCAAATATTTTATTTCATAGAGTACTTCACTGAATGAGTGGTGTTGACTTAAAATAAGATTTAGGGCAATGGCCAATCAAAACAAACAAAACATAGGGAAGTACCATAATTCAAGTTGCTAGACCCCCTAATGGTGAAAATGTAAAGGGACATAAAAGTGGAAGTTAAAGATTGAGTTCAAGTCATGAAGTTGCAACTACAGTATTTACTTCCAAAATCTGATCATTAATTCTTTCCTCTAGCTGTTGCTCATCTCCTTGTAAATTAGTCATGAGAATTTGGTTTTGGATCAGGATGACAACTTCAAGCTAATTAGTTTAAGTATTCGCATTAGTTGTTAACTGGAAAATGTATGGATATTAATAGAAGAGCAGTAACATGTTAACCTTATAATTGGGAATTACAGAGTTAATGAGAACGCAAGTTTTCTAGTAGCAGTGATGATTTTTTCTAATTTTTACCTGACCTCAGTAGTTAATCCAATATCTGAGCATTCACAGGCTATTTTGGAATTCAAGAAGTAAAGCATTTATTAAATATTTATTTAGGTAATTAAAGGTCCCTCCCTTCAAAATTTGAAAGACAAAATGTTTATCAAAATGTTTTCAGAACATTCCTGATTATCTGTCATAGCCTTCAGTGTGAGAAGCATTCTAGGTTACTAGTCATTTTACTTTGTGCGAATGTAAAATTGTGTATTTAAATCTCACCTTGTTTGTGTTTTGATATATTTATAGTTATTGATTATTTTTACCTTACAGAGCCAAATTATTGTTAGATCAGTACAAGAAGAAAGCTCAACTGTACAGAAGTAATGTGTTGTTTGTGCCTTTGGGAGATGATTTTCGATATGAAACTACATTTGAGACACATGAGCAGTACACCAATTATCAGGTACAATTATAGAAGTGTGGGATTTAACCTGTCTGCTAAGAAAAACCATCTATTTTGTATAGAAATTTGAGGCATTTGACTGCTGTTTGATTTTAAAAAAAAAGAATGTCTACTTGAGTATGTTCAGTGTTCAAAAACCATGTAATTGTATCAAAAAAAATAATAATAAAATAGCTTACAATACCTATTCTATGTGAAAAGTCTTCTTTACCTTTATTAGTTGCAAGCTATTCAATGTTAACCTGGTATTCCTATTTTCCACTGAAAACAGAAACTTATGGACCATATCAATTCGCATCCAGAGTTGAATGCAAAGGTAATCACTTGCATTTTGGTGGTTTAATATTTAACGATAAAAAGTCAAAAATCAAAAAAACAAACTATAACTGAAAGTAACAAACAAATGAAGAATATCAGGCTTGATAGCAAATAACTAAATTTATATATGTGATGCATTGTCAGTAGTTATTTCAGCTTCATATTTGTCTTTTTTTCTTGGAATAGTTTTGCCATAGCTTACTCTATACAATTAGTTAAAAACTGATTTGGCCCCAAGTTGATTTGTGTTTTTCATAGAAATTTCATTCTTACTTTAATTTGTTGCTGTTGATCTCAGGGACAATTTGGGACTTTAAGTGACTATTTCAATGCACTATGGAAGACTACAGGTATGAAACCAACAGACATTAATTTATTATTAGTAATATCATTAGTTTATCAGCAGTCTCTAATCACTGTTGTCAATTCTAGCTTTTTAGTTCTCTTGTTACTTTTAGCTGCATTTAGTTGTATCTATTTCCTGTAAACATGACCCGCCTAGATTAGCTTAGCTACCCGCGGGCCTGTTACTGTACTTTTATCCCAAAACACAATAAAAAATGTATGTATGTATGTATGTACATTCTCATTTCCTATTGGTACCTATTAAATTAAATGTAAATTCACAAGCAGCTATGGTCTTTAAAAGATTCGACTCAGACTTTTCCCTGCCACCTACCATATACTTTATTATAATCTTCTTTTCTTGTTCTCATATTGTATGTGATGTTGCCAAGTCTGTCAAATTTGCTTTGTTCTTATCATAGATATTGTTTTCAATTGTAGGTACTGAACCTGGTGGCCATCCAAAAGGCTTCCCAGCTTTGAGCGGTGACTTCTACACTTATGCAGACAGGTGAGATTCACTAGAGTAGTGATTTTTGAGAAGTTGTGTTTGAGTTAAAGAACTGTCATCTCTACCAGTGATTCACAATAACATCATATTTGTAAACAAGTAATGATCTGAGCTAATTTTTTGGCCAAAACTGCTTTTCATCAAGTGAAACAGAATCTGTGTTAGTATATGACTTTTTGGTTTAAAGCATGTTGCTTATAGCAAGTGTCTTTTCTCAACCTAGTTCTTTCTATTTGTCTTTTGTGGGATGAGTGTTGTTTTACTTCAGTTATGATCTGTTTATTTAATTTTTTTCTTTTTTTGTTCAAAGTTTGTTTTCTCTCCCACAGAGATGATCATTACTGGAGTGGCTACTATACATCCAGACCATTCTACAAGAATATGGACAGAGCGCTGGAATCCCAGCACAGGTTTGTATCTATAAATTGTATCACAAGAAGTTCTGCTACTAATGAATGGGCTCCTCGGGTTTGGTAGTGCTTAGTTTTGCTTCAGCTGTAAGCAAAATAATTTACTCATAAATTATGTCACTGTAAGTTAGACACTGAAACACTCAGGCACCACAGTTTTCTTTTCTTACTACTTCTCCCAGGGCTGCTGAAATAATATTCTCCTTGGCAGAGTCTCATGCGCGCCACCATGGAAGTTCCAGTTTTGCTGTGGAGCAGCTCTATGGTCTTCTGACAAATGCACGTAGAAACCTGGGTCTATTTCAACATCATGATGGCATCACTGGAACAGCAAAGGACTTTGTAGTTGTTGATTATGCCACAAGGTGAGTGGGTCGGTGGGTGTGTCTATGTGCGTACGTACGCACTTTCATTACTTAACCCTGATTAAAATGTAACTTACAAAGAAATGTGTAGCAGCTAGAGGAGAGAATTATCAATCAGATCTTGGGAGTTTCAGGGTTAATAGCGATGCAGGACGCGCGTTTCTACACCCGCGGGAAGTTTTGAGACGATTCAGGGAGAGGTTGCGGGGATCTGGCACTAATCAGATCAGTGCTACACCCTCATTGCAGACCTCTCCTCGACTCGCTTTGCTCAAAACCTCATTCTTTCCCGCGGCGCAGATACGCTCGTGCTCAGGCCAACCTCTCTCCGTCCTTACTGTGCCCAAGCGCTACTAGCGCCCAACTAGTATCTGGGAGGCATGGGTTCGAATTGCGTCGAAGCCCGTAATTTTTTGGCCCTCTTTTCTGCAATTGCTTAAATTGCAGCCACCTGCGCGGATGTTTCTTTTCTTGAGAAGAACTTAAGTTATTATGATTGTTTTTCCTTTCGGTTTTCGGCACTTTTTTGTCGAATTGTATGCTTTTATTATTTTAACTTCGTTGTAATTCGGAAAGTTTTAACATCCTTTAGGATGCTCCAATCACTGAAGGACATGCAGCAAGTGATACAGGACTCTGCCCACTTTCTGTTGACATCAGACAAGTCACGCTACAGGACACCAGACAGAGTGTTGCCGCCCCTTAAGTTTGTACGTATTGTGTTTTTTTCTTAGTGTTTTAGTGCAGTTTACGATTTAATTCCCAAGGCTGGCGAAATCTGGTTTCCACTGCATGATGCAACTTCGAACCAATGAACGAGTGAGCGAGCGAGCCAACGACCGAAGTCGAACGAATGAATGTACGAACGAACGAACGAGTGAGACTACGAACCGCCGACTGAACAAGCAAGCGAAAGGGCGAATGAGATAGAGCGAGTGATGAAGAAAAAATAAGAAGAGCTAAATGATAAAAGCAAGCAGCCAAACAATTAACAACCCGATACTAAATTATCCTACAGTAACCAATTCTTTGAGACAATTCCACTTAATTTTCAGTTAAACTTTTCAGTATCACTTTTGTTTTAGGGAGAATCCAGACAAGCTCAAGATTCTATGCCAACTAAAGAGGTGCTAACTTTGTCCAACACACCAAGGTATACTAACTGTTATGTATTATAAGGGCGCTTTTAAGATTCACTTTTGTGAAAACAAATCACAAAGGCTAATAGGAGTGAAAAAAAAGATATATCACTGGGACTCGAGAACTCAGAGCGTAGATAATAGGGACCTCAAGAAACCACGACGGCGACGGCAACGGCAGCGAGGACGTGGAAAAACAAGAGATCTAATTGGCAGAACAATAGCTCAGCACGTGCGTTTTGAAACTTTGTACATTTCTTAGTCGTCCTATGCAAAACAACAACGTGAAATCGCCAAAATTTGCGTCGCCTGCGAACCGAATCCGCGACGGCAAATTATTTTAATTTCCATTTGGAACTCAACGGCTACTTTATACGTCATGCTGAAGTTGAGCTGTGGCGCTGTATGAGACAGTAAGTTGCTGCAGCCATTTTTAAAATTCTAACTAAGAGTAGAAATTCATTTTTTAATCGAAGTCTTCCTTGGCGTCGCCGTCGTGGTTTCTCAAGGTCCCTAATGAAGAGCTCCGTAAGGAAACCCAACACATTTCTTTAATATAGATTATCGTCAAGTTAGTGAACCCGACCATGTAAAAGGCCTGTTATCATCCTTGTGATGTTAAACTTGAATGACCAAGAAACGCCATAACATATTCAGTCTCCATATGTGAACACAAAAGCAGACGTAAAGACATTCAAACTGCCTCACGAGTAGGAAAACACGAGTGCCTGACCAAATGGCGATTAGTTTTAGTTTTCATCTAGATTTGATTGATTTAGCGGATTGTGGGGCTAATCTTCTGGACTAACCGCCTCCCGGTTAGCTCAATGGATAGAGCGCCGGACTGTTGAGCGGGAGGTCGAGGGTTCGAGACCCGGCCGGACCAACACTTGAGGTCTGAAAATTACTGAGGAGAATGTGCTACCTTTCTATAATATCAGGAAATGGATAGACATTCTAGTCTTCTCGGATAAGGACAAATAAACCGTAGGTCCCCTCTCCTGCAGGGTTGGGGTAGGAGACGTTAATTTCGCACGCACGAGATGACTGTGTGATGGATGTCCTCCCCTGGGGTGGGAGGGGTGGGTACTAGGGCCCGCAGTAAATGGCGCAAGCTGTTGCGGGGTCCCTGCCTGTCGGCGAAGCTAATAAATTAAATAAAATTAATCTGAGCGGCGAAGGACAGCAAAGCAAATGCAACCAGTAGACATAAAACTACTCTCTAATTAGCACTCTGTCGAAAGCCGAATTGACTTAGATCACGAACACAAGCAATCGAGCAATAGTCAGGTCTTAAAGACGTCACGTTGTCGTTACAGGGCAGTAGTATTTTACAATTCCCTGACCACAGAAAGAGAGCAGTTAGTCAGCCTTCACGTCTCGGACCCAGCTGCCATGGTATGTTTATTGTACATGTATCTAGTTTTTAAGTTATGATTTTTTGCGACCAGCCTTTGATCGCCACACGTGCTTGCAAAGAAATAATTTTGATATTTAACCTTTAAAACATTTCTTTGTTATATAACACAATTCCTTGTCGACACTGCCCCTGTAAGGCTTTTCAGCGACGATACGCTCTCAGGATAAAATTTGTTTTAAATATTAAGGTGATAATCACACTAAAAAAATCTCCAATCAACTCCGATTTAGGCTGGAATTTAAAGGAGTAAACAGACCCTTTGATTTTTTAGGTTTTGACGGAATTTTAGCTTGTGAACAAGGGTCCGTTTCTCGAAAGTCACGGTGACTTGACGGGCCCGTAAAGCTGTTCTGTTTTCATTCAAGATAGGGATTTCAAAAGTTTTGAAAATGATACAATAAAACTATCAGCTAAAGAAACAAAAAAGTCTGGTTTGGGTGCCAGAACCTGCTTTCCTATCCTTTAAATTTTGATTGTAAAACATGACTTCGGGCCCGTTGAGTTACCGGGACTTTCGAGAAAAGGGCCTCAGGTTCTCATTGACTCCGCTGAACTAGAATCTCACGGGCTTCTTTTGAAATAAGGGCTGATAGTTTCGAAAGAAACTGTTTGGGGCTGCGTCGGTGGGAGTAACGAAATAATTTGGATATATCAACAAAGTTGAAATGGTAAATTGGCCACCGTAAAAATGAATACAAAAGCTGACGTTTCGAGCGTTAGCCCTTCGTTGGAGCGAATGGCTCCGACGAAGGGCTAACGCTCGAAACGTCAGCTTTTGTAATCATTACGGTGGCCAATTTACTATTTCAACTTTGTTGATATATCCAAATTATTTCTTTTGAAATATGCGATTGGAGGTCTGGTACTGGGTACTAGCTTTGCGAAAAACTCGCGAGGTGCTAGTGAAGCAGCGACAATGATTCCATCTGTCTACTGATTGATTACTGATGAAAATTGATTCCTTTGTAAACTGATTGCTCATATCCAGGTCAGTGACAGTGGAGGAAAGGAAGTTCCCAGCCAGGTGAACTTATGGTGGGATCACAGGAACAGAATTTCAACTGCTAAATACGAAGTAAGATCTGAAGTCAGGGAGCCAGCTGATTGCTTGTAATACTTTTGCCAGTTTTGGGAAACTTGAGCGCACGCGAAAGCATCGGTGTCTATAATAGTCAAGATAAATAGCTTACCCTGACGCTACTTTTCCTGCGCATCGCTCCCAGAGTTCAGCGCAGCGCTAAAATCAATCTTTACCTCGCTGATTTGTTTTTTGACTTGTGCGACGGACTTCGCCGTAAAAGGGAATGCTGGTAGTCTAGCTAACTGTAAAATTAACAACTTGTGTAAATCCCTTCCCCTTGTTATATCTCCAAACTCCTCAATCTTTCTTTCCTATCAATCACCCCCACAAATATATTTTGGTTTCCTTTTGCAAATGCTGAGAAGGGGGGAGGGGAGGGCGAGAGATTAAAGGAACAGTTCCTGTTGACTTTAGGGATCAGATGGGCCATGAGTAGGGATGTTTTACTTTTAGATTTAGCCTCACTCTCAGGGTTCCGCGCGGCGCGCTACCATCATTTTATTCTACTCGCGCGACGGATTTCGCCGGAAAAGGGGGGACAACCCGTAGTCTAGTTTACATGTAGTGTCCCAAACTCTCTTGAGTCAACTCTTCTAAGCAGTGATAACTGTTATTACTGCTCCCAACAAGTACAAGTTGATGTATTTCACCTATTTTGTGTATTTCAGCTCGTGTTTGTCGCCAAAGTTGCCCCTCTGGGTGTGACCACGTACTTTGTGTCATCAGGCCTGGGAGCAAAACTAAGCGAATGCTCCAGTATCACGGAGTATAACACAAATAGGAATCCTGAAAAACCAAGGTAAGGGTTATAATTTGGATATATCAACAAAGTTGAAATGGGCGAAGGGCTTACGCTCGAAACGTCAGCTTTTGTAATCGTTACGGTGGCCAATTTACCATTTCAACTTTGTTGATATATCCAAATTATTTCGTTACCCCCACCGACGCAGCCCCAAACAGTTTCTTTAGAAACTATCAGCCTTTATTCAAGGTAAGGGTTGTTACGCTTACATCCCATTCACACCAAAGCTGCAACGCGTTTTAAAGCTGTTTGGTCGAACACGATTTGACATCCCCTTCTCTGCTGCCTATGCAGGGTAATCTTAAACCAACACTGATGGTAGCCCGGTTTATTGGCTTTTTTCCCGCCGAAATAACACTACGGAGTAGGCTGCCCAACAACTCAGCCTCGTTCCGCCAAGATGACACCGTAGACAGGGGCCTCAGCTTTCTTTTTACCGCAGTTAGTGCCTATCCCACAGAAATTCGCACTTGACTCGGAAAATGATCGTATTCACTTATTAGTTACATTGTTGTTTAAGGAAGGAATTTGCGCATCGAGTCAAGGAACCTGGATCAGAAAGCATTTTCTTGGAAAATGATAATCTTAAAGTTGAATTTGAAAGTCTTCGAGGTTTGCTTAAGGTGAGTCAGTTTTCTCCAGTTGCTTGCGTGTTTTGCTTTCACTTCTGTTCATATTTTTATTTATTTATTTTTTTTGAGGGGGGGGTACATTTAAACCTATGAATAATCATTTAGTTCGTCGCGTTCCAAAGTGACGTAAAACTCAAAGTAGACTTTGTGCCCATCCACTCCGCTCTGTTTCGTCGAATTCCACATCTACATGCAATAATGTCTTATTTTGTTTATTTATAAACACTATCGGCGTTTACTGTCAAGAAAAGTCGAATTGGGAATTGTAAACGCTTTGCCATTCATTCATCAACCCGACAGAGTAGCGCGAAAGGCAAGTGACGTATCGGCAGTTGATTGGCGATATCAAACACGAAAAAGTTATCTTAATTTTGCTCGTTTGCTTTTCAGCCGGAAATCCTCGTAAAACGCCGCCGTTCATGTAGTACAGTCTGTTAATATCTGGACGTTGAATGTAAACACGGTAAATAAAAAAAAGCTTTTCGGGACCGATAACTACCGGTACATTCGAGGAACGGGCTAATGGCTTCGCATGCGAGTCAAGTTTGTTATTGTTTCTCACCTTGTTTTCAGGGTTTTCCACCCGGCTTCACAAAACCTAAGACTGGTCCAGGTCGACCTGAAACAATAGACTAAGAAAAGATGCGCCACTGAAAAGATGCGCCACTGAAAAGATGCGCCACTGAAAAGATGCTGAAAAGATGCGCCACCGCTAAAATCCAATCTTATTGTGTATAATTATATTTCAGAGCATTACAGATAAGCAAGACGGATCCGTAACCAGTGTTGCCATTGATTTTGTGTCGTATGGCACAAAAGCGTCCGGGGATAGGAGTGGAGCGTATCTGTTTCTGCCGGACGGCCCCGCTCAGGTGTGTCTTTACATTATACCCTAGTTTAGGGATCCTCCGTGTACTTTGGACGATGTGATAGGTCCCCGGTGAATTCTACATGAAAGGAAGGTTTCATAGTTGATGGTTCAGGGATTGACCAGAGATGGTCCAGTGATGATCCAGTGATGGTCCAGTGATGGTCCAGTGATGGTGCAGTGATGGTCCAGTGATGGTCCAGTGATGGTCCAGTGATGGTGCAGTGATGGTCCAGTGATGGTCCAGTGATGGTCCAGTGATGCTCCAGTGATGATCCAGTGATGGTCCAGTGATGTCATTAGGATGTCAAAGATTCGTCTCTTTTATTTCTGTTGTCTATAAAAAACAAATACTCACAGTCAGATCTTTTCCACACGAAACTTGACTATTAAGGTAAAACTTGGAAATTTTGACGTGGATTTATCGAGCCGGTTTGAGTGCAGTTCTTTTCGTTTGTCTCCATCCTAAAATTTTAAATAAGAAAGCATTTCCAGGGGTATAGGCGTGCTGAAATGATAAAAAATATTTCAGAAATTAACTTCGGATTCTATGAGAATTGTTAAATTTTGAACAATTTAAAACTGTTTCTCTTTAAACTCGGGTGAATTTCTCTGAAATGAAAAGCACTCTTGACTTCTTTTCTCATGGTGTATTGTTTTTCTTGTGTGTTTGTAGGCCCACGGTCTTGGAGAGCAGGTTACAGTGTATGTCAGCAAAGGCAAGTTGGTGAGTAATTGTGATCGTTAGGTTGCGCGTTTTTTTCGGTAGCAGTGTTCTATGAGGGTCAATAAAACAAAAAACAGTGGAGAAAGATATTTTACATGATTCCAAGCAGTTGGTGACTGGCCTTGGTATCTCAGTCTGTAGTGTTCTTCGACTACGTCCAATTTTATAGAAACAAAAATCAAAATACTTCAATTTACTTTGCTTTTCATGGAAAGATGCAAGAAGTACGAGTCGCTCTTCCCAATGTGGTCCATGTGGTTAGACTGTATTCCGTGGCTGGTAAGTAAGCACTTGATTGATCTTACCCAAGTCGGCTTGTTTCAATTTACAGGACATTTTTTGATACCAGCCTCGAAGTTTTTTTTCACAAGTATTTGACAATTTAAAGATGAAACAATTTTAATGTAATAGAAAAATCCGAACCCCAGATGGGACTTGAACCCACGACCCTCCGTGATCTAGTCGGATGCTCTAACCACTGAGCTACTGGAGACTCTATGGTGAGCAGGAGTCAATTTGTGGGCCTCGACTGGCACCGCATCGCGCGGCTACACAGCCAAATATTAGTCAGCGCCTGTGAAACTCACTAACAGCATCACGCTGTTAGTGAGTTTCACATGCGCTGACTAATACTTGGCTGTGTAGCCGCGCGATGCGGTTAAAGTCGAGGCCCACAAATTGACTCTTGCTCACCATAGAGTCTCCAGTAGCTCAGTGGTTAGAGCATCCGACTAGATCACGGAGGGTTCTGGGTTCAAGTCCCATCTGGGGCTCGGATTTTTCTGTTACATTATTTGACAATTTTTCATTTTATATTTTGAGTTCCTTTCGTTTTTCAAAAATTCTTACTCGTATAAGTTTGCGAAAGATGCGCACTAGAGGACGAAAAGAGCAATCCATGAGAACTGGAAAAGGATGTGAAACTAGTAGAACATGGCTTTCAAATTGAGTTTAACAGGACCTTAAAGATATTTTCCACGTTTTAATTTGCAACAGGGCCCGAAGGACTAACTCTGGATATCGAGAACAAAGTAGACATACGAAATCAAGTGAACAAGGTATATTGCGAAACCTTGGGGGTATCTTTTGCTTTCATGATAAGCTTTTTCGGTGAATAAAGAACCGAGGATAATCTTCATTTCCATTCTATCTAGGAATTGGTGATGAGAGTAAAAAGCAGTGTACGGAATGGTGGCCGAGAATATTACACTGATCTTAATGGATTTCAGGTGAGAAGTCGATATGTTGAGCCGGTATTTTTAACGAAGTCAAGCTTATGCAGTGCAATTAGAAAACCGAAGGACGTCGAAGGTTTTTTGATAAATAGGCTGTTTGACGTAAGTCAATGTCTGTCTAGTATAACCATTCATGACACCAGTTTAATAGCTCTTGACACTGTTCACTTACTTTTTTCCACTATCAGATGCAAAAGCGCAAAACACTAGACAAGATTCCTATCCAAGCCAACTTTTACCCAATCCCATCCATGGCTTTCCTTCAAGATAAATCGACGCGGTTGACACTTCTGTCAGCTCAGTCCAATGGTGTAGCTGGTCTGCATGAAGGTATTGCTGTTTTGCTTGAGGTGGTTTTGAAGGAAAATCGAAGGAAACATTTTCGCACTTGTTGCGAACCAAGAGACCGGCCCAACCTCGTTCCCAGGGCCTTTTCCCTTAGTTGGGGGTGGGAACGAACCATCATTTATCGCCTTCTAAGGCGATAAGAAATTACTGGTCCCTAAGATTGGCTTTTTTAAAAAGGTGAAATGTACTCCAGCCAATCACTGAAGAAGAGTGCATAAATGTACACCAACAGCCGGTAGATCATGGATTGGATATTTGCTTGATAAAACGCCTAATTCCTAATACTAGGCAGAAAAGAAACGTGCGCTCCTCAGTGAGAGGAATCAGCTCAAAGATCTCAGAAGTAAAAGAGCTATTCCTTTTTATTCTTTATTTATTTAGTATATTACTTTTGCCACACAGGTGAACTTCAAGTGGTTCTTGACCGCCGTTTGTATCAGGATGATAATAGAGGCCTGGGGCAGGGTGTAACTGACAACAAAGTTACCCCCGTTAACTTCAGGCTGGTAGTGCAACGATTCAAAAGTCCGCACGAACCTGTAAGTAAAACAGCAACAACAGCCCTTTATTTTAAAACGATAATTGTCATAGCTGTAAAGCTTGTGGGGTTGTTTATCTAAGACTCCAATGTGCTAATGGACTTAGTAAAGTTTGCAATTTGTCTAAAACCTAAGATATACAGTCATCTAGAGAAAGGTAAAATTAACTAAACTTCGTGTAAATTAAAGTATTTCGAGGGTTTAACTTTAAAGGTGTTATGTGTAAGTAACAGCACAGAGAAGCTAATTAAGATTGGCGTGCTGGTTCGTTTAATCTTTTCTATCAAGCTTAACGGAAAAATCATGTGTTTTGCAGGACGGCATTCCACTTGCGTACCCCTCCCTCCTTGGTCACAGATTGCTACACCATCTTAATCACCCACTGTTCACGTTAGTAACTCCAGCTCAGTCCGTCGACTCCGAGAACCTTCTGACGGATTTCGAAAGTTTTCAGTCCAGTCTACCCAATGATGTCTTCATGGTCAACTTGCGCTCAATAGGTGATAAACAGCGGCCTCGACCCAGTGGCGAGGCTCTCTTAGTGCTTCATCGTCTAGGATATGATTGTAATTTTGAATGCAAGTGCCTCGCGACGACAAGTAAAGGACAGGTGAGGAGAGTCAAGAACTAAAACATTTTATACAAATTATAATTATAGGATAAAGTGAGAGAAACGGACATTCGAGAGGTCGGTGGTTTCATTTTTGGATGGGTAGCGGTAATCTGCAATAGAACCTGAGTTTATGCATAAGAAAACGTGGAAAAGCTTCAGTTCAAGACTGTATCTACAGAGACGACTTCTGCTTTTTCCCTCTTTTAGATATCGAATTGGAAACGTTGTTTTCCACAACTAATTGCAGGCAGAGTCGACGAAAGTTCGCGATAGTCGTAAACAACAATTAGAAGCGTGGCTGACATGCTTTTTTGTCGGTTTATTTTACAGGTAAAGTTGAACCATTTGTTCAAAGATCTGTCGATCGACAAACTCCAGTCGACTTCTCTGACAATGTTGCACGACTACCAAGAACTGGATCCCAGCTCTCCCCTGAACGTAGAACCAATGGAACTTTATTCTTACAAGATGAGACTCAAATGATTAAGTTTAAGATGTTAGCGACCGAATTTAAATATATTTGCATATTTGATGCACCCTGCAAAAAAAAAAAAAAAAAACATACACTGATCACTTTCACGGTGAATTGGCTGGTGAAAGTAAACAGATCCGCCTAGTTTGAATGAAAAAGAAACTTTTATATATGGAATTTACCCAGTGAAAAAGACATTTCATTACCCTGCCAATTTCTGTCTATTGAGCAAACGCTAACTCCAAAACAAAGCTGGTCGGTTTCACCATCCAAAAAAGTGCTCTTATGTTTATATGGTAACCGGAAGTGTGGCTAGATAAACGGGCTTATGTTATAAAATTTGATACCCACTGCATGTACTCAGGGCCGGGTTGTTCGAAAGGTGGCTAATCCAGGGAGAAAGGTAAACTTAGTTTATTTTCTCTTGTACAAAAGTGACTACGTAGTATGCCAAATTTTGAAGGATTTTTCCTTTTGGCAAAACTTCCATAACAAAATATAAAGAAGTAAACTCTCTACAAACTGAAGAAAATTCAGTTACTTCTAACTAAGTCTTACCTAATCGTGTTCTGAACATCTCGGCCCAGAGCTGTAACTTTCAAACCTATTTATACAGGGACTTCTATTGACTATTGTATTAAGAGATAATAACGTTTAGGGCTTGATTCGTGTTTTGAATGGTTAAAAGCACGTGGAATACCGCTGACCAAAACGAGCAAAGAAATGAAACAAACGAAAAACAGATAACAATTCCCATCCCTTTCAACAAAGGGATGGAATTGTTAACTCAGAATGAATTTTATGTAAAGATGAAATAAACAATTTTTTATGCGCGTCTCTTTTAGTTGAATTCTTCCTTAAGTACATTTGCTGAGTGTTTCCTCCTTACTCGGAACTGGTTGGTTCAAATGACCGCCACAAACCGCCTACTATCAAGCCAAGCTTTAATTTTGATTATTCGATCTAAAAGAAATACATTTATAATTCCGATCAGAATAAACGCAAATCAGGTCTTTATCGCGTAACTAAATTCAGAAAACTTAAATGTTAACTTACTCCTGTTGCGGGTCGTTACAACAGTCTCACTTTAGAGATTAGCGGATTCTTTCAACAGATTCTCCACGTAAGCGGGTTGATAGACAGACTATAAAACAACTTCTTTCTCACTTCGATTCTTCTGAAAAACTGCTTTGAAACATAATAACCTAACGCATTTAAATCAATGAGTAGAATTAATGCCAATCACGAAGCTTGTCATCAAATGTATCCATCAATAAGAGGCGATTTCGCCTATTTGATGAACGAAACAGTGAGCAAGGCTTTTGTAAACAGCGAAATGCTTGTAATGTATTTCATCTCCCAGTTTTCGAAAGCTCTTTATTTTGGGTGTAATTTAAAGGTCGACGAGTTGTGAGCTTTCTGACCTTTCTAAGTAATCCTGTTCTCGCATAAATACTGTGAAGAAACTCCAGTGAAGCATAGCAGCTGGCGGTATAGCGACTTGGCCGCGAGAAGACTGGGTAGAAGCAATTTTAACGCTTTACAGGAAAATTATCCTTACATTATATGTCGAACAGACAAGTAATGAGGATGAAGAAACTTATCAACTAGGAGGTTGTTGGTTGATCTAAGACTAAATAATCCGAACCATCTTAAAAAGAATTGTATGGCAAATAGTATGAAGAACTTAGGAGATCAGAGGAGTGAAAGTGCTCGTGCCACAAGAGTTGTCAGAGCTCTCTACACTGTGGTCAGCGACCAGGGAAACGAGATATACTGTTAAGTTGTAATCCACTCAGTACACGGACACAAAACGTGCCAAGCTCGCCCCACTCGTTTAGGATTCAACCGCAGGATTTAACCAGTAATGAGTGTCGAAAAAGAAACACCGGTTCTCATAAACTTCGTTTTAGAGGCAAGGTGTTTTGTTATGCTTTGGTATTCGGTTTTTTTTTTTAGCCCTTTTTTTTTTCTCATTACCGAGATCTATCCCAGATATAAATAACAGACAAAGGTGTGAAAAGATGGATAAACAAGATTTTTTAATTATCATGAAGATCAAAACACTCGGCGAATTATGTGTACTTATGTGTGGTCTTTTTCCATGAGAGGGTCTTTGATTAAACAGATGAGAGCACATATTCCTGTCTTATAATCAACTGATCCATTTCCGACGAGAGTCGCAAACTGAGGTTTTTCTGATTAGCATTTCATCACCAACTGGAAACAAGGAGTCTCTCGTAGTAATTATTGTTTTAATTGTCCGGTTTTCCGTTTGCAATTTTCTCAATCGATCCTATAATGTGAAAGTCACAAGTCTTAAAGCTGATTCCTCAGTTTTTCCTCTTCTCCATGACAGTGCATATCAGAGAGCAACCTTTCATGTTTGAAACAGGGCTGAGAAATGCGCCAGCTTTGATTTGAGGATAGAGGCCAACATTTCTTTCATCCATCCCCCTGATCTTTGAACGTGTTCCAAACCGCAATCAAGGATCCATTTGATGAAACCCTGCAAGACGCCGGTCACTGTTTATATGACTAGTCACGCCTAAAATACCTTTCCTCATTGGTTAGGTATGTATGGTATTTTTTAACCATCCTATGCACGTATCATTCAGATTATTCTTTTGTTTCATTTTAAGCTGGCCATCTTAAATTATGAGCATCTTCTTGAGCATATGTGATTATTCCTATCTGGCAAATTGAAATAACTAATTATTTGAAAATCTGCCAATCTGATTTGATATTTTGCGGCAGGGGAAGGGAAGGGCAAGACTTTTTTAAACTGGGGTGAAATTGTGAGAGGCACATGCCGGCAAATCAGCAAATAATGATGAGAACTAAATTCTGAGTGGACAATAGGGTTTGTGACAAATACTGAAGGCTTTAGACGAGCGGCAAATGGCTCTGATCCTCAAAACAGCTTGTGATTGTTGATTTTAGAGGGATTTTTTTTACAGAAATCCCGAGGGACTGAAGCCAATAGTGGGCGTTTCTTTGTTGATGGACAAGCGATAAGGCAAGTGTCACGCCTCGTTGCGATGCAATATGAGATGAATTTCCTGCACATCCGCGGGGTTTCCGGATCAGACTAGTCGCATTCGAACGAAATTTCGGTGGTGTGTCGCTCTGCCCCGGTCACAAACATTTGGGGATTCCTCCACGTATTCAGATAACGCTAATTTGCTTCAAAAAAACCACCCTGGATTTGATTGACTGCGTTACAAGCACGGAAAGATAGCGATTTAAAGTAAAAGCGAGGCACAGACGAAGCATATTACAATACCGCAACTTCAGGTAAGCCGGGAATATAAATATTATGCTCGCTAAAGAAATCTGTTTCGATGAAAAAGTATTTCCTTGGCGTAGAAACTCTCCAAAATTTTAGAACTTGATGAGGAATGCTGTAATATTATGTGCTGTTATTTAGGTGACTCATCAGTTCGGATGAAGCACGCTTTCTTTTATTCTTTGTTGCTGTTAAATCGATAATCTGTGACAACTGAAAACGAGAAACTGCTTAAAACTACCATTGACCCCAAAGATTTTGGTAGATGGTTTTTTTAACGGCTAGAAAGGATCCGCCGAGGCTTGTTTATTTGAATTGATGAATCGATCTTGACTTTACAATCAGTAATCTTAGATGGAAACTCACAATCTGTCTCGAGTAGCAGGAACACGCGACATTTAGATGAATACTAAATTTCGTATTCCACAGGTGTCTGTTTTGTAAGCGACACAGAGAGAGTGAAAGCATCATAAAAAAAAAAGTCAGCGTTGTATTTTGTTCGGGATAGGAAACGCGCGAGCAGCAGATTTGATCGCAAAAACGTCCATTGTAAAATGAATCGGGCTCCATGGGTCTTGCGGTTGAGCAATGTTGATAGTTCTTTGTATTCACAACAAACACAAACGCGGTTACAAGATTTCTTTCCCCATGGCCTAATTTTCTAATATTTTGCTGCAGTCTTGTCAACGATCTGCTAGTGATCCGCGTATTTTCTCCCAAGAAAGCGAATTATGTACTGCTTCTCTCTTTTAACTAAGGTATTTTCATTTAAATCGTGGAAATTGTGATCCTCAAGTCAAAATAATTTGTTGATATTTAGTAAACATGAATCATGTGCCTAGTGTCGGTTTGATCAAAGATCCTTGAACAGTGTTTACAAAACGTCCTTTAGATTTTCGGAAGGTTTCTTAAGTTTTTTCTAATCAAAATACACCAAAAGGCTTTTGTAGTCTACTTGTCAATATTACTCGTTGAAGTTGAAAACGTAGTGCGATCCTTCTCCTATATTTGTTAAACGTGTAAATTGTTTTCTCTACACCACACACGACCCAAAACTTCCTGATTTATTTTGTTTAGCTATCGACGAGGTAAAACTGGAAATTTTTCCCTTATTCTTTGCGCTTCTTTAATGTCGTGACTTTCGTGTAGACACATTTTATTGCTGAGTAATTTTCCCGTCTGCTGTTTGTTATTGCTCATTCCTGTTGATTTTCCGATATCTTTTGTTCTAGTGTATTTTTAATCCTTGTTGTTTAGGCTGCTGCGATAACATTTATGCAAAGCTTTCACAAAACAATCAGAGAACGAAAGTCTTTCTTTTTCCCTATGTGCGCCTCAGGGTTGTCACGTTCAGTCTTTCGGCTTTGTAAACACGCCACAGCGGGATACAGGGCAAGACGGTTTTCAATACACAAAACACAACAGCCTAACAAATGTCTTTTGGCGTGCCACTATTGCACTTATCCTAAGCTGGTCTTTCCATTTAAAATTGTTAAAAACCAATCGTGATTTTAAAAGAATTATCTTTTGCGAGATTGCTATCGCATTAATTTGTCGCTTTGATGCCAGAGAAAGAATTTGTGACCTTTCGCAATGAGAGGTGAGCTAGCCCCCTGGCTCAAATTTAATCGCTGTGATATTTTGATGGAGAACACAAATATACCAATTAAAAATGTTTACATTTTAAAACTCGGCTCTATCCTGGCGTAATATCCTTTTCGATCGTCAACCGAGTGTGTTGAGTTTTCAGTATATTTTTCCATTTTCAGGAACGTGTGATGACAGCAACTTTTCCTCACGTTGTCAAGCCATTTTGTTTCCAATTTGCGTCGCACGAGGGTTGATGTTCCAATTTTTTATTGTGTTCGATCAACGATCGGTTTGAAAAATACTCTCAAACATTCTTTCCTCTTTCAAATTTAACAGAAATACAATACGGTTGATTTATTTCTCTCCAGCTGACAGTAATTGAGTAGCGTATAAACACACAGCGGAAATTGCCTTTCGGTTTTATCTGTCAAATATATTACGTAGCCTTTTTATCTTATCTATGTCATCACATTCTTTTTGTGTTAATACAGCGGACGTTGGATGGTTTTGTTTTTTTGTCAATTCCAACTGTGCGTAAAGTGAGCTTTTATTAAGGTGAGCTGAGCTTTAAAGATTTAGGTTATCCCATTTGTGTTAACGCTAGAAGGCTTCACTGAGTTGAGATATTCAGTTTTCATCGTCTGTTTTAACTCTTAGTCCTGTCAAAGTGCTCTCTGACAAACCACTTGAAGATAACGAAAGAAAGCGTCCTTATCTGATAAGCTTGCCAACTGAGAACATGCCCTCCATATTTTCTCATGGAAAATATTCAAAAGAATATCATACAAACACAAACTTGCAATTCAAGATGGAACATGTAGGTGTAGAAAATTGGTAAAATTTTGACCACCTCTAAAGGAAAAAAAAAAGTTATTGGATTTTATCTGACCGGAAAAGGGATTTGTTGCCAACAACAACTATATTTAAATCCAATGAACAGTGACTAAGTACAGTTTGACTTGAAGTAATCAAAACGTCTGGTTACTTTGTACGTTTTTTTCACTCTTCATACCAAGATGGTAATTAAAAAATTACCTTCCACCCAATTTTATTCAAGAAATTTATTTAAAACTTGATAGAATGTTGGAATTCGTTTAGGAAATTAAATTAGATTTGCTTGGCAAGTGTACATTTTGACCTATATGAGAATGATCCTTCGCAGTAAAGCACTATTTGAGCAATAGTGAAAATCAGACCTGAAAAAAATTTCAGGCCCGCACGGGATTCGAACCACTGACCTCCGCGATACCAGTGCAGCGCTCCACCAATCGAGCGGGCCTGAAATTTTTTTCAGGTCTGATTTTCACTATTGCTCAAATAGTGCTTTACTGCGAAGGATCATTCTCATATACGTCTCATAACCGCAGTTCACACATATGTTTCATATGTTTGTTGTTGTTTGTACATTTTGAATTACTAACAATTAAGCACTTATTACATTTTGATTAAGTTTTCTTGGACTTTGCGCTTTTACAGAATGAAACATTTTACACTCTTTTGTCTGGGCTTCAAAACCACCTGCTATAGGGGCTAGTAGTTACCCAGGTGCTACCCTGCAAGTCTAATCTTGGGTGGAAGATGTGAAGACCAGATTTCTGACTATGCCGTGACTCCAACCCACTTCTCCTCAGTTGAGCTCTGCTGTTGATTAATTATCTTGTGTTCCAGTGTGTATGGAAAGGAAAAATTGTCTTTTTGAGAAATCAATCTTGTAGAAGTGGCAATTACATGTATGAGAAATTCTTCAGAAATACAGCATTATGTATTTACCACAATTTTCAGACTAAGACAATTTTGACAAGTGTTCTATCAATTTAGTTAAGGGCCAATTTTATGGTAATTGTGTTAGTTCTAAATTGCCCTCAGCATGGGGATTTGGCAAAAATGAAAAATTTACAGTTCTAAGAACATGAAATTTTTTTAGAGGTCAAGGTGCACCATGCAGTGGTATGCATTAAGATGATCAGCTTAAGAAAATCAGACATGGTTTATCATCGTATTATTTTGGGTGTTAGATTGCACTCAGCACTAGACATGAAATATTTTGTACATCCTTCACACTAAACCCACCTGACAGAAGTGTCAACTCAATCTTATGGCTCTCAGATCTGGGGCAAAAAAAGAAAAAAAGTTTCACATCTAAGTATTTTTGTTGGGCAAGACTATCTCAAGCTAAAATAAAATTGTCCAGATTTGCCACATTGACAATCCTGCAAGTAGGATACCTCCTTATCTTAATCAAAAGGAGGGGAAAACCACAATTTTAAAGGAAGTAGAATTTTATTCTCACAAATTGGCCTGCTTTTTAAAATATGTTCACTTAGATGGTTTTTTTTTTATATAGAAAAGCCAGACAAGAAAGGTTTACAAAAAGTCATATGAAGAGTGCAATTTATTCAGTGATCACTGTTTTACACTTGTATTGCAACAAAGTTCATTCAATTTAAAACTGCCAGGAAGCTTCTGATTGCACACATGTTATGTCCTTTTTGGAGTAGAAATTAGGCACGGTGATTCTATGTTTGATAACGATCACAATCTTTTTCATGTGAGTGCTATTTTAAACCTCTTACCAACCAAGTTGAAGATCTGAGCTGTATGTTATGGACTGAGTTTTTTCTGCTCAGATTTATGTTCCAGGCACCTGGTGAATTGAGAAATCATAGTGCATGTACTATCTGAGAGATGTGATAATGTCTTTATTAACTGATGTATATACATGATTGAGAAATATTTGAAATTTGTGTTTTGGTTGGTCTTTAATTTCACATGTTGCCAAACTTGAATTGCCATCTTTCTTGTCAATCATAGTTTAACCATCACGTTATTAATTTGCTCGTTTAATTTGTGATTTCAGGTTTGTTGTTAACCATTACAATCCTCGCCAACGCTCTAAACAGTGAAGTGCATGATCCCACACATTTCTCAATGACAAGATGGCAGATTGCTACATTATTGTTACAACAAGGAACATTTTATGGATGGTGTTGTCAGTTGTTGCAACACTGGCTGTGATAGCTGGAATTATGACACCCAAGTGGTTATATGGAAGATCAGTGCTTTTTGATGACAAGAACTATAACATGACTTCTCAATTCATCCCATCTGAGGCAATGTACAGGCCTTCGATTGGCATCTACAACCGCTGTAAAAAAATTCAAAGGAGTGTTGGAGGGGATCCAGAACTCAATTGTTACACTTATGTCAAAAACTTTATGGAGATTCCTTCAGCTGCATGGCGAGCTTGTCTGTTTTTTCTATGGTTTGGTACAGCACTATTAGCTATTGTTGTACTCATGTCCATTGTGGGATTTTGTGCACAGAGTATAGGAAAGAAAAGCATTTTCTCACTTGGTGGAGTTATCCAGGCCATAGCAGGTAATTTATTGGAATACATATTCTTCAGTGATAATTGTTAGTATTATCCAAAGTAATTAGTGTTGTTCCATACCCAATAGGGTTTGGTCATTTCTCAGTTAAGGCTGTTCTTATTTGACACCCATTCTCCTGGGAAATGTTAAGGCACAGCCTGGAGTACTGTTATAGGACATAGAATTTTTTTTCTGCAGGAATAGTAATAACAAAAACAAAAATAGCTTTCAATTCTCTGGCAGTATTTTATAAAGTATCATTCTAAGAGAGGTCATTAGTTAGCCTCAATGTAAATTTAATGAAACTGTTTTTTTAATGTTTTGTTGTGGTTGTTGTTGTTGTTGTTTTGCCTGGTAATATTTGTTGCATGTACTCAGTTCCAACAAACTGAAAATGATGCAGAAAAACTGCGTTAATTAAGGTATTGATCTAAGCACATACGTACATGTGAGAAAATTGTAGTATTAGTGAGCTTGTAAACCAAAATAAAAAGTTTAAGATCAGTGTTGTGTTAAGTACATGAATGAGGAAAACTCTTGTCCTAGAAGCTAACATTTGTTATTTGGGGTTTTTTATAGCACTCTTTCTTGTTATTGGCCTTGTTCTCTACCCTGCTGGCTGGGGCAGTGAAACAGTTGGAGATCTTTGCACAAAACCATCACAGAAACCAGGAGCTTTTGTACTTAATGAATGCTCAGTGGGATGGGCATTTTATGCTGTGCTTGGAGGTACTTTGTCATCATTTCTATGTTCCTTGCTATCTGGTCAAGCAGAGAAGTCTACATCAAGTGATGATGTGCAAGACGAAATTTCAGATGGAAAGACTTTGATTTGTCTTATTTAAATGGATTGCAGGAAGTTGGCAAGGAACTTATGGCAGTTTCTTACATTGTGAAGACTTGTGTCATTATCACCATGGCAACTTTTTTGCAGACTTGTACATAGCTGCAATGTGTAGTCACTGTTAAGGTTCATTGACAAATTCTGCTGTTAAGAGAACATTCAATAAAAGGACAAAAATTAAGGTGTATGTTTATAGATACAGATTTCCTTTTGTTTAGAAAGAACTTAAAAATAGTCATTGTATTATTCTAATTAAGGATGTACAATTAGTGGTAAACAGGCATAAATTGAGTTTTGGCTGTGTTAAAATCAGGAGTTTTCTTGCTATTAAACTTAACAAAAGTTTGTATTAAATTTAAACTGAATTGAAAGATCTAATCGGTTAATAGGGATTAATCACTGATGAGCAGATGGTATCAAATTGATGGTATTGAGAACAGAAATGTCTTCTGAAATGTTAAAAAGTATCTAGCATTTCTCTTGAGTGTTACAGATGGGTTTTACTATCTTTGAGAAGGGGGTGCCCTCCGACACACGTTTTAGAGTCACTGTGTGAGGGTGTTCTATTAAAAAAGGAATCTCAGCGTAACACAATTAAAACTTACTCTTGAGAAGACTGTCAATGTTAGTTGTATGTAATTTAGTAAAAATTGATGAGTACTTTTTACATTTTAGATTAAAAAATACAATAAATAGTACTTTTGTTCAGGAATATCAGCACTTGCGTTTCTACATGTATTAAATTTTTTTTTTTTAAATAGTATTGATTGACAATACTTCTGACTTTAACAAGCATTAGAAGAAAATGTTGTAAGCTCGCAATACTCATGTGATAGTTATGGGTCACTATTTAATATGATAATTATTTTCAGTGAGGAATCAAAGTATATGTGGAAAGGATGTTTTGAACAAGATGTTTTTTGTCCACAAAACTTTTCATCACAATTCTTAATGAAATAAATTCTGATTCATAATGTTTAGGTCACCCTCTGCCTTGCTCCAGCTTAGGGATTGTGCAACTTTTCTATGCATAAAATATCAACCATTTGCAATTTACATTTTTTTAAGGAGTCAGCTGATATCAATATGAAGTATTAAATTATATGTTTCTGTGAATCCTCAATTCCTGCTAAGTTCATTAATCTGTGGACAGTCAGTACTAGTATTGCCAGATTATTTATTTTAATGATAGTCCTTGCAATATATTGACGGGCAGTCATCTCTTTTTTTTTTTTTTTTTAATCTTCCCAATATTGAAAAATCAAAAAAGCCTAATCTTTCTCTAAGTAATTGTTATTGGAAACTCAACAATGAGGTGTTAACACCCATCCAAATAAACTTTGACAAGGCAAGCCACATACCAATGCAGTGGGTCTTTTTTTTAATTTTTTTCTATTTTTAACAATTACAAGAGAAGAAAAGGAGAAGCAATTTACCGGCCGGGACTAAGGAGGGTCCATGTATCTTATTTCAAGAACCACTCGTTAACACATCTAAAAAATCATCTTGCGTTTGTTTCATCGTACAGGTTCTAAATTTTTTGCTCCAAGTAAAATTTTTGGCGTGCTTGGGCTAATACTCCTTTTACTAAGCGGTTATTTAATTATCTGGAGAGAAAAAGAAACTGGAAAATGGCCCAATAAGTGGCACTNGCTGCTTTTGAAATTTCCAAAGTCTTTGTTTTACCTCCCAAATTTTTTCACTTCAAGTACCCATTTGTTTAGACGTTCTATAATGTATATTTAGTTAATGAATAAATATGGGTAAAAAATGGAAATAACATGCACAACAACTCTTAAACCGAATAACAAAAAAGGTATTGTTCCTCTTATGTGAAATATACCTTGTACATGCATTGCTCATCACCTTTTTGATGAGACAAAAAAATATGTACTGGTATATTCAATACATATTTTCAAATTGCAACATTTTTGAACAAAAATAAAAATATATATATTATATTTAACAATTATTCCATGAGTGCACGTTGGATATGAGATGATAGATAGCCAACGAGGCGCGTAGCGCCGAGTTGGCTATAATCATCTCATATCCAATAAGTGTGAGTGGAATAATTGTTTTATTAAAAACACCCCCAAGTAATAATTATTTTGTAAGCTGAAGAAACTGGATTTTTTAGCTCCCTTTTGATTTTAAGCTGATGCGTACGCTTACCATATTTGTAGATTATGGTATATTGGCTCATATACCATAATGGCTAAGCCAATAAAAAGTCTTGAATTGCATTATCCAATAATCTAGTTTTTAATAAAGGTATTTATTAAAAACTGGATCATTGGATAATGCAATTCCAGACTTTTTATTGGCTTAGCCATTATGGTATATGAGCCAATATACCATAATCTACAAATATGGTAAGCGTACGCATCAGCTTAAAATCAAAAGGGAGCTAAAAAATCCAGTTTCTTCAGCTTACAAAATAATTATTACTTGGGGGTGTTTTTAATAAAACAATTATTCCACTCACACTTATTGGATATGAGATGATTATAGCCAACTCGGCGCTACGCGCCTCGTTGGCTATCTATCATCTCATATCCAACGTGCACTCATGGAATAATTGTTAAATATAATATATATATTTTTATTTTTGTTCAAAAATGTTGCAATTTGAAAATATGTATTGAATATACCAGTACATATTTTTTTGTCTCATCAAAAAGGTGATGAGCAATGCATGTACAAGGTATATTTCACATAAGAGGAACAATACCTTTTTTGTTATTCGGTTTAAGAGTTGTTGTGCATGTTATTTCCATTTTTTACCCATATTTATTCATTAACTAAATATACATTATAGAACGTCTAAACAAATGGGTACTTGAAGTGAAAAAATTTGGGAGGTAAAACAAAGACTTTGGAAATTTCAAAAGCAGCCAAGGCTGTGCTCTAAGAAAAATTGAAGAGAGCCCAGTGCTCAGAAACTGAAATCCAGGGTGCCCAGCATATGCTTTTTATGAAAAAACTAAGATTCCTGGGTTGCCCAAGAATAAATGTAAGGCGCCAGGAACCACTGGGTGCTGCTGACCACAGCCCAGTGGCAGCTATTGTACTCTCCTTTTGGAAAATTGTCCTTTTAATCTATTTTGCCAACACCCTTTAGATGAGAAAAGAAAAGGTATAGACCACTTTCATAAATGGCTGCCAGATTAATATTCTTTTGTTTAAATTTAAATTAGCCCTTCTGGCCTCGCTTGAGATAATGTATTCTTTTGAATTTTGTAGTGGAGAACGAGGCCAGAAGGGTTAATTTAAAGTTAGACAAAAGAATATTAATCTGGCAGCCATTTATGAAAGTGGTCTATATATATTTAATTTATGTTTTCAAATTGCAACATTTTTTAAAACAGGTGTATATATTGATATATACAGTGTATGATTGTGAGCTTTGAATCATCAACAAAATAATAGGTAATTAATTTTAAATAAAGATGAGTTCACACTTTGAGAAACACCATGTTGAAGTTGGTACTTTTGCATTTAGGATTGTTTGGAAAACCTCTCTCAGTTTACCGAGGTGCATGTTGTGCTAGGCAATGAAGCATGTGATCTGGACTCGATGGTTTCATCTTTACTACATGCTTTCTCAATTTACAAGGTGAGATTCACTGTAATTCTTATTTTATTTTAAAATTATTGTGAACCTCTTCACTTTCCTCAAAAATACAGCATGAAATTGTTAATCCACTTGGAAATTACATCCCTTTTAATTCTGGCTCCATTCTCTCACTCCTATACTTGATCAACTCCCAGAAGTATAAGTTTACCTTATATATATATATATATATATATAT